CCCCAAAACCCCAAAACCCCAAAACCCCAAAACCCCTATCTATCAGGAATAAATTGAAAATAAAATTGCTAGCTTGCAGCTAAGAATTAAATTAATTTCGAAGATGTCTCACTTAAATCATTTTACAAAGTAAGACTTCTTCTTAACTCTGTTAGATACAAGTTTTATCACCCGTACAAGCCTGAAGGAGATCAAACAGGTCAAACAAGGAGGGTAACTTATCATTTAATCTTATATAGAAGTTAGAAAGACTTTTAATGGAGAATAATAGCACAAAAAGCTGTTGAGAAAATCTCAAAAATATAATCCCCTGTGAAGACCACCTGCAGGTCTGAATACAATGCTCTACTGTGTATGTATCAAAACTAGAGCATTCTCAGAAATCTACTCAGCTGAGAAGCAAGTATAATCACACAGTGAAAGAGAAAACTGAGACTTTTGTGTGTGATGAAGAAATAAATCCCCCAAAATATTTTCGAAGATCTCTGAAGGATGAACAACAAGCACCTAGAATGAGATCTTATTCTCAAAGAATTGTGTTCGAGGAGCATCTTCCCAGTGTCTATATGTACTATTTCAAAGATTGCAGGTTCAGTATCAAGCAGAGAGAAAGAATATGTACTCTTGCATTCTCATATTTCATACAAATGTGAGTGAACCTCAAGAATTTGGAAGAAAGAGACTTAGACATGCTAGTGATAACATGTTTACTCCTGGCTTCAAAACTGGATGAAATCGATGATCACCTTCCCTCGTTTGAGTACATGGTCTCACACTATAACAAATCCTCGTACAGGATAATGCACTATGGTAAGATAAGAATTTAATGACTAGGATCGAGATTAACAAAGCACGGACACTTTCAGCATTCAAGGCTTGAAGAATGTTGCTTAAAAACTTTAGAATGGAATTTAAACCAAACTACAGTAAACGATTTCCTCAATTCCTTATTTACACAAGGAATAGTCCTTTCGACAGATAAGGTAAGATTCTGCTGAAAATTTATAGCCTAAATAAACAAGTTCAGGATTATGGTGATGAAGATGACATGAATGCCAACAGTGGAATCATCACTGAAGATTTAATCAGGTTGATCAAATCAACAGCGAATTACTTCTGAAATTTAATTCATTTCATTCTACCTCTGCTGAACTACAAAGCTTCACTCTTGGCAGCATCTTGTGTTTATCTAGCTAGAGATAGCCACGTGAATCCCACTTGGAGTAAGGATCTTGTCAAACTCACTACTTATGATAAATCAGATATGGAAGAGTGAATAGACCTCATGGTTGCTCATCTAAATACAGTCAAGCTTGGTGGGAAGATTTTTGATATTTCGTATATTATTGGCAAAGCTCCTTTCGAAGTAAACTCATTCTACTCTCCAATCAAACCTCCTAGAGAAGAAGCTAGTGCTGAAAAACAGGAAGAGAAGAAAGAAAACTTGAGAGATAAAAAGATAGCATCTTACAGCCCAAAAAGATCAATTCCAAAACCTGATATTCAAAGCCAAAAGCATAAGACCGAAGCTAAAGTAAAGCAGAAGCTCACCAAAAATGACAGTAAAACCGACATCCTCCTAAACGAAAGCCCCTATCTCACCAACAGAATCCTCCATACGATCAATACACAAAGCTACGGAATCCCTTGCAGCACCAAAAACCAGCTCGCTCCAGTCATGGCCAAGCCTCATCAACGCAAACTTTACAATATAAAACCTCAAAAACTCTTCAAATAAAAAGCAAATTTTCGATAAATCCCACTCAAACTACAGAAGCCAGATCGGACTGAACTCTCACCGCAGAGAGTAAGTTTCTTCTTAAATTGTAGAATAATCACTCGGCCAAATGAAAGCTTCCTCTATCTTCCGTCCAAGTCTCACTTGGCAAGAGGAGCTCTCCCTCTTGAACAGAGGAGCCGGTCGAGGATCCAAGGCGGGAACCCGCCTTGTAGCGGCTCCTTTGTGACTCAGAGAGGGGGAGAGTTCTTTTATCAGCCTGAGAAGAGGATCAAGAAGGCTATGAGTCGAAGGAATATTGGTAATTTGAAGAGTTTAACATATGGTATAGCTATTGTGGAGAATACCACTGTAATGCAAGGATTAGAGAGAGGGAAGCAGCCAAGGCAAGCAAAGATTTTTAGTGACAAGAAAGAACAACAGAGTGACAAACTTCTGGCGAACCATCTGAAGAAATATAGCTTAGCAATGATGCATGAGAAAGGTAACACTGAGTTAATCTGTAGATGAGGATACATCTCTGAACAAAAGGTTTGACTTAGCAACTGTAGAGCAGATATAAAAGAAGTTAACGACTCAGAAAATGCTGACCAGAGTCCGAGTGTTCAGCAGTTTGTAAGGAGAAGAAAATTTCCACATTGGAATGGTATAGGCTAATTTTCAATTCGATATAGGAGAATCAATTGATCATGAAACACTTCCTTCTGTCTCAAAGTTATCTTCGCATACTGAATTAAAGTAAGTATTTGAAGGAGGTTACGAATTCCTTATAACTATTCCAACTATTTAGTTCAGCCAAGAAGCCTCAATTAAAGCCAACTCTTCGTTTTCTACAAGACGGAATAAGCTATTCTTACAAAAAGAACAAGTATGTCAGAAATAATCGGGCCTAATCTTGTCCCTAAAGTTTTCTTAAAATTCAAAAGCAGTATAGCTATTGGTAGTCCTCTGGGAGTCCAAAGCCCGCAGAGAGCTTAGAACATGTTTCTAGGTGCTTTAGAAACTTGGAAAATCTATTTAGGAGATTAACAACCATTTTTGTTCAATATTCTCATTGATAGTTGGGGTTTTGGGGTTTTGGGGTTTTGGGG